TAGAGAGGTTGAGGCACAAGTTCAAACGTTAAACGTGTACGGGTAGCAGAAGTACACGTTACACGTTTCAAGTCCAAGTAAAAATCGTTGAGGCACACGTTCATAACATCACGTGACTCAGTGAACATCGCGCATTGACTCACGGGAAATAAGTTGAAAAAAATGGCGGAAGCAAAATAAATCATAATTTTAACCCCAAACACAAAAAAATGAAGACGTTTAAGCCGATCGTGTACTCACCAAGCTACACGTAACAAACGCCATTATCGACGGTCCAGAACTGCCAGATGGCGGCGCTCACCCGTTACCCGTACACGTTTTGGGCTAAATACGTGCGCCTCAACCTCTCTAATAATACACAATAAATTAATTTTATAAAAAATAAATCATTGTATAATGTTTTTAGGTGATACTAGTGGTTACATCTCAGTATGGTATTTAGCCAATTTTTACAATGGTTTGAACACTGGAAATTTAGAAAAAGAGTTAACATCCTTCACATATACCAGAATTCTTCCCGGTTTCCTTATGTGTAAGAAGAAAGTTTTGCCCGAAGAACCAGAACATGATTATTATCTGCTGGGTAAACCGCCTGTACTGCTAAACCGATTTAGAGGTCATACAGTTACCGTTAACTGTATAGAATTCGTAGAAAATTATAAATATATCATCACTGGAAGTACCGATTGCTGTGTTCGACTATGGACCCTCAACGGAAGGTTTCTAGGAACATTTGGAGACAAACATCCATGGAATTTGGATCGCTCTTACCTTGCAACTTCTCGCTATGTCATTCCTGAAGAAATCAAAAGATGTGGAACACCTATGACGCTAAGAGTTGGTATATATTATCCTTAACTCTTTGATTTGAAACAGGTTAATGGAATCTTTATCAATTTTAGGTTTTAAATGGTGGAATGTCAAGACTCTGGAAGGCCACGCTAAATGTCATTNTTCGGGGCCTAAAGGACCGAGTTTTTTGTAACACTATGTAAACTTGATGAAGGGAGGAAGGGGTGATCAAGAAATGAAATTAGAATCAACTTTAGTTAACAATGGACAACGATCTAAAGTATTTTTTTCAGCAAAGTCATTAACTAAATCATTGAAATTTAATTTGTTTAATAAATCAGACTCAATATTTATGATTGAAAGACAGTTCAACCAGTGGCGTAGCGTGGGTGTCAGCCGCCCGGAGCGGAAGAAAATTTCGTCCCCCCTTATTTAGGTATCTCAATTTAAAAGACTAAAATTCAGTTTCGTCACAGAATAAGTAATGAAAAATTCCGTGCTAGTATTGCCACCTTTTTAAAATCGCTGACCCGGACGGCAGGTGAGGTTTGTTCGAACAGAAGTTCCTGACGCGTGCGTATGTCATTTTGTAATGCGAAGAATAATGTGCAGTGCATGCCGGTTCTAAATCAGTTACAGTTAGCGACTAGGGATACTTGAATAGTAGTAACGCAAGTGATCTAATTCTATTGGATATTAGAGGTGGATATATATATATATATATGGATAAATCGTACAAGCAAAAAAAAAGGTCGACAGGTAGCGCACGATATCCCCGGACGGCGAGTCGATTCCCGGACTGTCCGGATGGTAACACTGTTCCGTGCTCATTTCAATCGGTCCGAATCGTAGGTGGCCGAAAATATGAAATAAAATGGTTCAAATTCTTACAAGATATTATTATTATTTATTGTGAAATTTTGCCGCCCCCACTACGCTACTCTACTGAGTTCAACCTATCTTGCAACATTGTACTTCGGTAATTATTTTTTTCGTATTTTAATTTAGAAAAAGAACGTTCCACAAATTCGTTATCATAACAACAATTCGTTATCATAAAACATAAATAAATACGGAACAAATTTCAACATTTGAAAATGTTGAAACTAAAGAGTTATTTTTAATTTTCAAATATAAATTAGGTATTGATACCTCACTCAATATTATTTCTGAAATATAATGTTTGAAATGTAAACATTCTGCCATCAAACTCGTTACATAAATATCAGCATCGTGCGTAGAAGCTAGTCTTTCACATGCTTTTATATCCTTTTTATCTAATTCGTGCAATTCGGTAAAAAATGTAAAGTTATCACTTATTTTTTGATAAGTGTATGTTATTATTATGTGATATTATGAAAAATTTTAACTATCAAATTCAATTCTATTAAATAATATATATATAATGGAACTTATGACTTACTTTCGTGAAATAGCTCCCTTTTCTACTCTTACTTGTAATAAGCAGTTGAAACTAAAACGTTAAACTTCATTTTTTGATTAATTTTTATTGAAATGTGTTACCGAAAATTTAGATTTATATCAAAGCAACAGCTTTTTATTGTAATTTGATTATTTTGAAAAGACTGAACTTAATCGTTCCTTTACCATGAAACACGATTAAATAAGAATATTAAATGAATTACATTTTATTTAATAATATAAAATTAAAAATTTGATTGTAATATGAAAAGAAATGAATGGAAGAATGTGGCGAAACGAATTTTCTCTACACTCTTCCATTCCTTTTTTGCAAATTTTAGCATTAGGTATGCCTTTATACACTGATACGTCTTCAAAATAGAAGGTAACAGTAAAAATCATTAGATTGAAATTATTGTAAGTCACATACTTGAATATTGGATTATATTTTTTAAATTAAATACGCACTCGTTAACTAGAGCCGTGTCCACCCAACCTAGCCAACTGCAAGTTTCTTGCAGATTCTTGTTGAAATGACGCCATCTTTATTAATTAAGCTAACTCAGCCTCATTTTTAGCCGACTGTAAGTTTTCTGCAGTTACTTCTTATCCGTCTAATTCTGCCAGTTAGTTAACTCCTCTCGACGTCATTCCTCTGAAAAATCGGCTAAGTTGATGAACACAGCGGAACACACAAATTCGAAAAATTCGTGGGATTTTGCTTTCAAAAAAGAATGACTGCCTGTTTAACGGCAAATGTTTAAATTTTTTACTCTCCACTCTGTGGATACTACGAAGGTCTTTTTGCAAGCCCATTAAGGGTATAGCCAGGTTCACAATAGGTGGACTCGGGTAGCTGAGTGGTACGAGAAGAGGTCCGATACACCGAACGGATTAACCCCGAAAAATTCCTGAGGTTTTTCGATCTGGCCATATTCGATCCCGGGTTCCCCAGTGCGGTAGGCCGCCATGTTTACTACTCGGCTTTTCGGCCGTCTAATTGTCTCTCACGATAATTTTGAATATTTTCAATTATTAATTTTTGAATCGAATGTAAAATAATTATATTCGTGAAAATTTTATAAAAATATTTTAGGGAAATTTTAATTTATGGAAAGATTTCATGTGTGGTGGGTGACGTGGCACAATGGCGGGAGATATAAATTGCCATCCCATGTGTGGAAGGACCTCTTTTTGCTGACCGGGACTTGGGCTTGACGGGCAGAGGTACGCTGGAGTGTGCAAGGAGTACGAATTGGTCGTGGCAAAGGGACAGAAATTCGCCATGAAAGGAATCAATCTGCATCATCGAAACCACATGGCCGAACCTATTTGTGAGAGGACTCTGGGATGTAAGGTGAAGTTTTTGTTCAGACGCATACAGTAGTTTCAACGAGGGAGCTGCTTCTGTGAAGTGACTGTAGAATGTACTTTTCTTCTTCTTTATAATCATATCCGTGAAACGGAATAATTACTAATTGACACGATCATGGTTTTTATTTTGTACCTAATAGTGATAAGCTAAAGTGTAGCTATATTGCCAATTATTAAAAATTTTCTTACTTTCAACCCAAGTCATTTGTCTTTTGTAAGGTTCTCAAGTAACATTTTTTACCCAACCTTTTGTCCGGAGTAATCTCGATACTCCTTAGACATCTACAAATGCTTTTAAGTAACATTTACATCATATAATTGTTATAATTGTTTCCTATGTCAAAAGCTTTCTGTTTATTGTTTTACAAAAATCTGAAATGAATACAAATATGAAAACTTTAATTAANTCTAATACGAAGTATATACTGAATTTCTAATACGAAGTATATACTGAATTTCTAATACGAAGTATATACTGAATTTCTAATACGAAGTATATACTGAATTTCTAATACGAAGTATATACTGAATTTCTAATACGAAGTATATACTGAATTTCTAATACGAAGTATATACTGAATTTCTAATACGAAGTATATACTGAATTTCTAATACGAAGTATATACTGAATTTCTAATACGAAGTATATACTGAATTTCTAATACGAAGTATATACTGAATTTCTAATACGAAGTATATACTGAATTTCTAATACGAAGTATATACTGAATTTCTAATACGAAGTATATACTGAATTTCTAATACGAAGTATATACTGAATTTCTAATACGAAGTATATACTGAATTTCTAATACGAAGTATATACTGAATTTCTAATACGAAGTATATACTGAATTTCTAATACGAAGTATATACTGAATTTCTAATACGAAGTATATACTGAATTTCTAATACGAAGTATATACTGAATTTCTAATACGAAGTATATACTGAATTTCTAATACGAAGTATATACTGAATTTCTAATACGAAGTATATACTGAATTTCTAATACGAAGTATATACTGAATTTCTAATACGAAGTATATACTGAATTTCTAATACGAAGTATATACTGAATTTCTAATACGAAGTATATACTGAATTTCTAATACGAAGTATATACTGAATTTCTAATACGAAGTATATACTGAATTTCTAATACGAAGTATATACTGAATTTCTAATACGAAGTATATACTGAATTTCTAATACGAAGTATATACTGAATTTCTAATACGAAGTATATACTGAATTTCTAATACGAAGTATATACTGAATTTCTAATACGAAGTATATACTGAATTTCTAATACGAAGTATATACTGAATTTCTAATACGAAGTATATACTGAATTTCTAATACGAAGTATATACTGAATTTCTAATACGAAGTATATACTGAATTTCTAATACGAAGTATATACTGAATTTCTAATACGAAGTATATACTGAATTTCTAATACGAAGTATATACTGAATTTCTAATACGAAGTATATACTGAATTTCTAATACGAAGTATATACTGAATTTCTAATACGAAGTATATACTGAATTTCTAATACGAAGTATATACTGAATTTCTAATACGAAGTATATACTGAATTTCTAATACGAAGTATATACTGAATTTCTAATACGAAGTATATACTGAATTTCTAATACGAAGTATATACTGAATTTCTAATACGAAGTATATACTGAATTTCTAATACGAAGTATATACTGAATTTCTAATACGAAGTATATACTGAATTTCTAATACGAAGTATATACTGAATTTCTAATACGAAGTATATACTGAATTTCTAATACGAAGTATATACTGAATTTCTAATACGAAGTATATACTGAATTTCTAATACGAAGTATATACTGAATTTCTAATACGAAGTATATACTGAATTTCTAATACGAAGTATATACTGAATTTCTAATACGAAGTATATACTGAATTTCTAATACGAAGTATATACTGAATTTCTAATACGAAGTATATACTGAATTTCTAATACGAAGTATATACTGAATTTCTAATACGAAGTATATACTGAATTTCTAATACGAAGTATATACTGAATTTCTAATACGAAGTATATACTGAATTTCTAATACGAAGTATATACTGAATTTCTAATACGAAGTATATACTGAATTTCTAATACGAAGTATATACTGAATTTCTAATACGAAGTATATACTGAATTTCTAATACGAAGTATATACTGAATTTCTAATACGAAGTATATACTGAATTTCTAATACGAAGTATATACTGAATTTCTAATACGAAGTATATACTGAATTTCTAATACGAAGTATATACTGAATTTCTAATACGAAGTATATACTGAATTTCTAATACGAAGTATATACTGAATTTCTAATACGAAGTATATACTGAATTTCTAATACGAAGTATATACTGAATTTCTAATACGAAGTATATACTGAATTTCTAATACGAAGTATATACTGAATTTCTAATACGAAGTATATACTGAATTTCTAATACGAAGTATATACTGAATTTCTAATACGAAGTATATACTGAATTTCTAATACGAAGTATATACTGAATTTCTAATACGAAGTATATACTGAATTTCTAATACGAAGTATATACTGAATTTCTAATACGAAGTATATACTGAATTTCTAATACGAAGTATATACTGAATTTCTAATACGAAGTATATACTGAATTTCTAATACGAAGTATATACTGAATTTCTAATACGAAGTATATACTGAATTTCTAATACGAAGTATATACTGAATTTCTAATACGAAGTATATACTGAATTTCTAATACGAAGTATATACTGAATTTCTAATACGAAGTATATACTGAATTTCTAATACGAAGTATATACTGAATTTCTAATACGAAGTATATACTGAATTTCTAATACGAAGTATATACTGAATTTCTAATACGAAGTATATACTGAATTTCTAATACGAAGTATATACTGAATTTCTAATACGAAGTATATACTGAATTTCTAATACGAAGTATATACTGAATTTCTAATACGAAGTATATACTGAATTTCTAATACGAAGTATATACTGAATTTCTAATACGAAGTATATACTGAATTTCTAATACGAAGTATATACTGAATTTCTAATACGAAGTATATACTGAATTTCTAATACGAAGTATATACTGAATTTCTAATACGAAGTATATACTGAATTTCTAATACGAAGTATATACTGAATTTCTAATACGAAGTATATACTGAATTTCTAATACGAAGTATATACTGAATTTCTAATACGAAGTATATACTGAATTTCTAATACGAAGTATATACTGAATTTCTAATACGAAGTATATACTGAATTTCTAATACGAAGTATATACTGAATTTCTAATACGAAGTATATACTGAATTTCTAATACGAAGTATATACTGAATTTCTAATACGAAGTATATACTGAATTTCTAATACGAAGTATATACTGAATTTCTAATACGAAGTATATACTGAATTTCTAATACGAAGTATATACTGAATTTCTAATACGAAGTATATACTGAATTTCTAATACGAAGTATATACTGAATTTCTAATACGAAGTATATACTGAATTTCTAATACGAAGTATATACTGAATTTCTAATACGAAGTATATACTGAATTTCTAATACGAAGTATATACTGAATTTCTAATACGAAGTATATACTGAATTTCTAATACGAAGTATATACTGAATTTCTAATACGAAGTATATACTGAATTTCTAATACGAAGTATATACTGAATTTCTAATACGAAGTATATACTGAATTTCTAATACGAAGTATATACTGAATTTCTAATACGAAGTATATACTGAATTTCTAATACGAAGTATATACTGAATTTCTAATACGAAGTATATACTGAATTTCTAATACGAAGTATATACTGAATTTCTAATACGAAGTATATACTGAATTTCTAATACGAAGTATATACTGAATTTCTAATACGAAGTATATACTGAATTTCTAATACGAAGTATATACTGAATTTCTAATACGAAGTATATACTGAATTTCTAATACGAAGTATATACTGAATTTCTAATACGAAGTATATACTGAATTTCTAATACGAAGTATATACTGAATTTCTAATACGAAGTATATACTGAATTTCTAATACGAAGTATATACTGAATTTCTAATACGAAGTATATACTGAATTTCTAATACGAAGTATATACTGAATTTCTAATACGAAGTATATACTGAATTTCTAATACGAAGTATATACTGAATTTCTAATACGAAGTATATACTGAATTTCTAATACGAAGTATATACTGAATTTCTAATACGAAGTATATACTGAATTTCTATACATTTCAAAACTATCTTCCGTCATTTTTGTATAAATATAAATTTTTAAAAACTACGTAAAGATAATAATACACAATAAATTAATTTTATAAAAAATAAATCATTGTATAATGTTTTTAGGTGATACTAGTGGTTACATCTCAGTATGGTATTTAGCCAATTTTTACAATGGTTTGAACACTGGAAATTTAGAAAAAGAGTTAACATCCTTCACATATACCAGAATTCTTCCCGGTTTCCTTATGTGTAAGAAGAAAGTTTTGCCCGAAGAACCAGAACATGATTATTATCTGCTGGGGAAACCGCCTGTACTGCTAAACCGATTCAGAGGTCATACAGTTACCGTTAACTGTATAGAATTCGTAGAAAATTATAAATATATCATCACTGGAAGTACCGATTGCTGTGTTCGACTATGGACCCTCAACGGAAGGTTTCTAGGAACATTTGGAGACAAACATCCATGGAATTTGGATCGCTCTTACCTTGCAACTTCTCGCTATGTCATTCCTGAAGAAATCAAAAGATGTGGAACACCTATGACGCTAAGAGTTGGTATATATTATCCTTAACTCTTTGATTTGAAACAGGTTAATGGAATCTTTATCAATTTTAGGTTTTAAATGGTGGAATGTCAAGACTCTGGAAGGCCACGCTAAATGTCATTAGCTTTCTGTGGATGTTATTAGGGAAGCAGAAGAGAGCTGTAGCTGCTGGTAAAATCATCAAAGAAATTGAAGTTGACAAAAAGAAAATATATGAAGATGATTTCTTTGATTTCAAATTACCGAAACATATTTTGGAAAAATATTATCAACCCAAACAGGAATATATTCCACTACCAAAGATTAATCTTATTTCAAATGAGAAAGAGGTGAGGTGAAACTAATTGACATTTTATTGAATTTAATTACCAATTTCATTTAAAACTCGATACCATATAATCCTGTTAGCGATCTACTCGAAGTAACATAAACTGCCTGATTATCAATTGAAGACATATGAACATATCCTATTTTTAGATTATTGTAAAGATAAAAAGATTTATTTTTCGCTGCACAAATATCTGATAAATATATTTTGATATTCTTTTCGATTTAAAAAACATCCATTTACACTTTCGATAAATTATAATGTGTTTTTTATTTACTTTCAAATTTTAGAATACTACAATGTTATGAATTCTGCAGCATTCATTGAGAATTTTTTTCTCAACTTTGAATTTTCTCAATTATTAGAATCGTTAGATTTCAATTTAATATCAAAAATATGGAATACAAACACGTTTAAAATATGCAAAACCATTTTAAAATCGCCGTTAAAATAAGCAAATTGATTCTAGAATATATTCATTTTTTAAATTTTTTTTCCTTTTAAGTTAATCATATACAATATACAGTATATATTTACATTTTGTAAGTGTTTATACTAATTTTTACGAAATCAGAGTAATGCAAATTAAAGTATCGCTACTCAGAGCGACCTGTAGAGAGAAACAGCGGGCGAGATGCTGTCATACTTTGTATTTTCCATCTTCTGGAAAATATAGTCTACTCTTTCACGAGGAAGAGGTTTTGGCAATAAAAATAATTTTACTACTTAACGATAAAAATATGATGCTACGAGTATTAGCTTTTTTTTTTTATATCCTGCACAGCAGCTAACATATTGATTAGTCTTCATTTCATCATCTTTAATAGCTCACTAAAGATTCCGATCTAAACCACTTTCATATAGCGCATTAATGCAAGGAACAAAATAAAATCTATCGATTATAGTTCGTATGCCTTGAGTAAGTTATGGTTTAGGCCGAGACTCCACTAGCGTAAAAACCCTCGCCATAAAAGCTTTAATCACGTTTATATTTTAGAATAGAAAGAGTTAATTGTAGAAAATCCCCGAATCAAAGGTCCGTCCAACATAAAAGCTTTAATCACGTGACCATGATATTTTACGCCTGAGCAGGTCGTAATTAAACCAGCATAAAAGCGAGTTGAGCAGTGTTCAACTTTCGACGCGAATACGGCCGTAAAACGATACCATCCACCAATCAGAAGTCAGTGAAATCTACGTTACTGTCCAATCGTACTCATTCGACGGTTAACCCTGCCATAATTTTTTCCCGCTCGCAGCGCCATATTCCTTTAATCTTCGAATACCTGAACTTTTTTAAATTGCCAAAACCACTTCTTCGTAATCTAGAAAGTATAAAGGAGTTTCATCCACTGGTTCTTCTGTCACCCTGTATATTTTGTAAATATAATTAATATAACTAAATCTTATACAATATCACATAAATTTCAATTTTAATATTGAATAAAATCTATCTATATTATGTTTTCATCATTCAAACAAATCTTGCAGATCCTTTCTTTGACTTTATTTTAATAATTTTACTATAAATACAATTATTCAGTATTTCATCTTATTTAACCCATAATTAAGAATACAGTGATTAATTAATTGCTGTTGTAATAATTACCAATTTTTAAAAAAGCACTTTAATTTTTTTTGTGTTTTGATATTATGAATGATATAAATATTATTCTTTTCTAGGTGTTTCCTTTCATGAGTCTTCCAACATATGAACTGAAAACCATAAATCCTCCTCAGAGAAATCTCGATTTACGAGATCTGCGAAATTTGGGACGCTCCCCAGCATAGTAAAATGGAAAAAATCAGCTTTTGAAACTAGTAAAGAAAAACAAAAATTAAAAAAAGAAAAGCTAAATTCGTTCTAATCTTGATATTCGTCTTTGTCTTTTTTTTAACTGCCCTTCATGCCTTCTTCAACTTTTTGTTTTTTATAACAGTGAATACACATTTATATTCATCTAAACCCATATATATACATACATACATACATACAAAATCTTTGGTGAATTGTTAAATATTATTAACTGTACTTTTGAACAATTATTATTGTAAATAACTTTTTATGAAAATATATTTTAATGCTTTTAAAAATAAAAGTTAATGAATGTTAAAATATTTTGGAATTTCAAATAGGCATAACAAGCACTAGTACGCTGCAATTAGCAGTTCCTCTATTTAATATTTTCCCGCATTTTGCGATTCTTTTGAATTTTTTTCCCCCTCTAAACTTCTATGCGTTATATCAGAAACCATTCATGTTCAATAGACTTCAAAAACTATTTTGTGCTTTTAAAACTTTTTTTAAATCAAATTCACAAATACGTTAGGGATTGTCCGTAAATTACGTCCGCATTTATCTTGAAATTTTTATTCCCCCTTCCCTATTGTCCCAGGTTACGTAACCCCTCTCGTCTTTGGACTTCAATAAAATTCAACTCTCCTTAAAAGTTTTATCACTTTATGAACTATATATGTTATGAGTCAAGTGATTAATAGGTCATTATTGCCCGGCCATTATAAATAATGAATAAAACGGCCACGCAACTCGATAAATATGGATTAATTTATTAAACTGACCAGACATTATGCATAAAGTTTTGGGCAATTTGATATTCAAAAAGAAAGTCAATTTTTTCCATTAAGAATTATTTATTTTTATGAATTATTTCAAAGTATCTTAAGAAAAACTCGCTCATATTATATGGTTAATATTAATATAGGTATATTTTTTACATTAAACTTTATTAATCAACACACACTACATAAATAGAATCATTATTAAAATAAGTTAACATTGGCAATTAGTTTGCATGTAGCATTCAACAAAATTTGCGAGAAGTTACAACATTTACAAACCTCAATATTTTTTAAAAGTACGGCACTTTCCCTTGTTATGTATACATGAGAGTCGGAAAAGTAATTGAAACCACATCTTTTCACCAGATGTAATTGTTAAAATTAAAATTTAAAATGTCTAATTGATCATGAATAAGTTTAAACAAAATTTGCCAAAAATTGAGATTCATTCTTTTTAAAATTTTCCTAGATTTGCTAAAAATGTACAAAAATATCCCTTCTCCCCTTTTTAATTACCTAGATATAAGAACAATTTCCTAAATCTGGTATCGCTACCGTTAATTTATAAGAAATATGTAAAGATGGCCGGAATTCGGAATTTCGCCTATTCGAAATTTCAGTTATTTTTTAAAGACTGTTCTAAATGTCCTGAAAAGTGAACGAGAAGCTGTCAGTTAGCTTGTCCCTTTTACCTCGTTGTCACCCCTAATTGCAATCCGAATTATTTTCATTTCTGCCAGTTTGCGCTCTTCCGCATTTTGCTATTTTTCTGCCTCTAAATACTAAAAGGAGATGTTTTAATCATACTTATTGTGGGTTCTGCCAGACTCATTTATAGGACGGTAGGGTGTGAAAGACGGAATATATACGAAATGACCTGATATATACGAAACGGAGCGTTCATGAAACTTCTTGGGATTTGATCCTGGGGCTCCAGAGCGTAGTCTGTCGACTTAGCCGCTTCAAGCATCTGGCTGTATTATCACCATCATAATGATCAAAGAAAGGAAAAATGTTTCCAAGTTTGTTTGAGGTTTTATTTTGCCCATCAGTTTTTCAAGTTGGTGTTTTTTCCACACTGTGTTCGGAATTCGTTACCTTCGAAGTTGCCGACTCTAGAAATATAAACTCTTTTTTTTTTTTATAAATATAATAATCTAAAGAAAAACATCTGCGATGTAAATAAATTGCACCAAGTAAAAACTTATGTCAGTCAAAATTTTTCTTAACAGTTTTTCTTTGGTAAAGTTAAGTTTGGTGCTTCGAAGCACTGGCCACTTGTCATAACTTCCTTCTTCCCTTCAGTGCGGACGTCATTTATGGACAGCCCCTTAAATGCAGATTCTATTACATGGCAAAATGCTCTAAGCGATTAATGTAAGAGTCTTCAATAACTGTTTAGAAACATTTACTAAGTAAAGATAGTCTATTAAGGATTGCAACATTGTTTACATCAAGATAACCTTCATATATGTTTATATTTGAAGCAACACAAATTAACAAAATAGGCCCTACGTTAATTTAATAATATTTTATTATTAAATTTAATAATATTTTATTATTAAATTAACTTCTGTAAAACTTCAGACTTGTGTCTAAGGAAAAATTCCAAATTACCGTTTGTTTTCCATTTCTTTTTTAACTGCAAAGATCACTGAAACTAGGCGAAGATATATTGTTACGTACGCATATAGAATATGCTGATTCTGATTAGTTAATTTTGAATCGCCTTCGATCTTCATCGGTTGCAATTGAATTAGAGTATAGCTTTTAGTGTACAGTACAAGCGTCGGCTGCGAGACTTTCCAAGAAAATCGTACTGTGTTCGCGCTCTTAAAAAACTATTATTGAAAACATGCCAAATATAGAGTTAGCCTCTTATGGTTCTACGATTTGTATCTGCTATTTGTATTTCATAGATGATAAAATAATAATAATTTAGCAAGCTTATAAATTAGTTGTAAATAAAACGTATTTAAATATTCTTAAAATATGTTTAATCAATTTAAACAATAACAGAATATAAGTAGAGTTGTATTCNATTAAATGATTGAGATATTTTGTATTTATGAAATAGAATTTTTAATGTATATAATATATTTTGAAAAAATAACGTTTTCGAATTAAAATATGAAACGATCAATTAGAAGCGAAGAATAGTTTTTAAAATATCCGTTTGATGACGTTCTATTCTTTTAAAGAAATTCTATAATTTTGTTTTGTATTTTCAGTTTTGACGGTGTGTTAAAAGAATGTTTAAAATGGAAAGTTCACCAGAAAGAATAGAGAATTTGTTAAGAAAATCCCATCTAGAAAAAATGAAAGAGATATTATTTCTCTTTCTCAGATGATATAGTCGAAGATAAAAAGATCGACCTTGACACTTTCAAAGGTCTGATAGAAAATGTCATTTCAAAACCAACTAAGGAAGATGAAATAAGAAGTCTTTTCGATAAAGTGGACATATATTGCAAACAAGAAATAACTTGGAGACAATTTATAGCTTACATTAAGAAAGACTCTTTCAACAAAGATATGATTCAGTCTTTTGGACTTCATTGGCCCTTCAAGGAAGATACTAAAACGATAAAAACTACTGAAGGAGACGAATTGGAATTCGTAAGCGACTATAGGAGCATGAATCTTCCCAGAAATGATAGTATTAAAGAGATTATATACTATGAAAATCATATTCAAGGGAAATCTTGCTTAACTGAAGATGATCAATACATAATTGTATCCGAAAAAGGTATTTTAGATTTTCTATCTGCTGATTTACGTCGGATCACTCGACTGGATGCCCTTGGTCAGATATATAATTCAGTTTGTGTTAACGCCATGATTTTCATGATGAACGCAAAAATGTTAGTCATTTCGACTAATTTGAGATATATCCGTTTCTACGTCTGCCATCCTTTTTTCTTCACGAAAAAATATGAAATAATTGGCTTTTATTATGATATCAGTTGCATGGATTACGCCATCGATCCGGAAGATTTTAAACACGGATATCTATCTATAGGAAATGACCATGGAGATGTTTGTTATTTTAACTTTACGGAATGTGAAATTGGCTCTCCTTTTGGAGTGAATACTCTCTATGATCTCTCGTCTGTCATTCATGTAAAAGAAATAATAAACAGAAAAATAATAAGCATAAAATTAAATAGGTTCGAATTCAGATATGATAATTGGATAGGACAGGTAAAATATGTTGAACGTATTAATTCTATCATATCATGTGCTGCTAGTAGCAATGTATCTCTTTGCATCCATCCCATAACCAAGAATGTTGATCATAGATTTAAAGTCAGAAGAGGAATATTATGTTTTGATTATTATATTCAAAATTTGATCGTAACTGGGGAATGGATTACTCAGTCCGAATATGGAATCCCTACGTTACAAATAAAGCCTCTGCTATACTTTTAGGCCATGCATCTCCAGTTATGAAAGTGTTCATGGATAGTAAAAGATATCTTGCTTTCAGCATCAGTATGTGCAAATATATTTTTGTTTGGGATATAGAAAGACAAAAAGCAGTACTGAGAATTGATGGAAATTTCAAGACTCTCGACAAATCTCTTGCAACTTTAAACTTGGATACCGGGCAATTCAGACTGACTTCAGCCTTTTATAATCCAAATTCTACTACTATCATTATTGGTAGCGATAATTTGGAGATTTTTAAATCTAGACATACACAATATTCTAAAGAGATAAAAAGTCACCCAAATAGAATTTTAGATGTACTCTTCAGTGACAAATACAAATACATTATCAGTGGTTGCGATAAATATATAAAAATTTGGAAGTTAAAAAATGGTGCTAAAATATTACAATTTGAACCAGTCACAAAGAAATGATTAAAGATGGCGATGTTATTACAGCAATTACATTAGATGGAAGCAAGAAAAGGTTGATAACTGGTACCAGTTTCGGTTGTATGAAGACATGGAATTTCTGCAATGGAGAATTATTAGTAAAATTAAGTACTAAAGACCTAAATTAAGTACTAAATAACTAAAATTGTCGTCTCTGATAATAAGATATTCTTAGTAGGCAAAGATAAACGAGTTACAGTGTTTCATGATAGTGAATACGAACCTAAGAGAAGAATATGGCAAATTGTTCATAAAGAAGACATCTCCAACTTAGTAGTTAATAAAAGGAATATCGTGGCGACTAGCTCTTACGATGGTGAAATCGTATTATGGAGTATAGAAATAGGTTATATGAAGCATATACTTCACGATGATAGAAAGTTGGATGATATAGAAAGATTAACTGAACAAGAACTAAGGATGATTAAGAGAAATCGATCTAGTTTTTCGGAAGTGCCTAAAAC